GGCTTAAAAAAACGCAAAAATGTATTATATCATAATTTTGGAGACCATATTTCGAAAATGTGTCCACGCTGCTGCCTTAGTTTGAAAGCTTTTGTCTAGAATCTTTCTTTTTCCAGCTTCTAGAGGTTACCTACATTATTTGGCTTATGGCCCCTTCATCTTCAAAAACCAACAGCACAGCATCCTTTTTACTGTCTTTCTCACTTTCTTTTGAGCATGCATCATCAGCATCTTTAGCAACCGTACTACTACCAATAGTCTGTTTACGACTATGCATGCATTCTCTAAGACAACATAAGTTTTTCTTTTCTACCATGTTTTTCCTTTCCTTCTGAAACCTTGACAACAATCTTTAGCATTCATATATACACTAACACTGTGTTAAAAAAATTAGGCTTTTGCTAATGTCCTCCTCAAAATTTTCCCAACCTTCACCCATTACCCAGTTCCAAAGCCAGATCTACATTTTGTTAAGTATTTGCTACAGCAAATACAAATAACACCTGACATTCACAATTGTCATGGGACTATAATGAACCTCTAAATGTATAAATTTTATTGTGGTGTACAGCTTTTCTGATAGGATAATAAAGTATAACTGGAAAACATGTTATGTAAATAAGGTCTGTTTTAATCATTTGTACCACAGTAAAAATGCATAAAAGGTATTTCATGAAATTTTTAGATTTGTTTTGAGATAATGTCTTGCTCTGTCACCCACGCTGAAGTGCAATGGTGCAATCACAGCTGACTGCAGCCTTGAACTCCCAGGTTGAATGGATCCCGCCCATCTCAGCCACCCAAGTAGCTGGGATTACAGGTGTGTGACACCACACTTGGCTAGTTTTTATGTTTTCTGTAGCAACAAGGTTTTTCCTTGTTGCCCAGGCTGGCCTCAAACACCTAGGCTCAAGTGATCCACCCACCTCGGTCTCGCAAAGGGCTGGTATTACAGACATGGACCATCCCACCCAGCCAGATTTTAGATTTCAATGCAACAGAAATAGCACTGGTTTCAGGAGCCAGGAAACTGCTCTCTTGCCTTTTTCTCCATATGAATAAATTATTTTATATATATCTTAGCTTCCTACCTTTGAAATATAGTATTTCTTGTAATTCTTGTGACTGATATAATTTAATGAGATAATTAATGTGAAAACACTATGCATTATTTACAAGATACTTCTATTTCAGTGAAAGACTGTTATGACAGCTATACCGATAGACTAAGTATGAAGTGCTACTTTGTATTAAAAGTGCAGCAAAAAAAAAGTAGTCAAAGCTACATTTGAGAAATTTAGAAATTTATTATTCCAATTTTAAGTTGTATTGTTTATTCCTTTAGTCACTTAAAAAGTCTTTCTGATCTCCACAAATATAGAAACAACCTTTACTAAATTTCTAGATTTAAAATTCATCTAAATAGTTATCATCTGTGTCATAATGTGTTGGAGTAGAAACAATATTGCATCTGGAATAAGATGACCTGAATTCTAGTTGTAGTGCTCTTGCTAATTTGTATCTTGTGTGTGTGTGTGTGTGTGTGTGTGTGTGTGTACGTGTGTACAAGAACATATGCATATAATATATAGTGATCATATGAGGATAATTTGGTATTCTTTAGCAAATACTTCTGTATCCTTTCTAGATATTGTGTAATAGTTCAAGCTGAATTTGATCTATATTTTATTCACAAGCAGGGCTTTTGATTTCAGAAATGCTACAAAGGTTTCGGCAGTCTAATTATCTGTGATCACCAATTATCTGTGTAAACCTTGAGTACTTCATTTTACCTCCCCATTGTTCATTTTGTTCATTGGTAAGTAAGGATATTAGAAAAAATAATTTCCAGGTTTCCTCTAGCCTTAATATTTTGTGATTCTACTCTTGTAAATTCACAAGTTAATGATAGAATTTCTTCAATTTCTTCAAATTGATAGAAAATGTATATCAATAAATATTAAAAGAATTTAAAATGGGAAGGGTAGGCCTTATGAAAGAAAAAAAAAAGGCTGAGACATTGACTTTCTCCTTTTTATAAGAAACAAGTCATAATCTCCATTTAAAATTGCTGTATTGGGTGAGACATTGCAAATACAATGTTGCAATGAAATGAAAGTGAGCCTATATTTAAAAACAAATTTGGGTAGAGGGCCAAGACAGCCAACTAGAAGCAGCTAGAGTGTGTGGCTCTCACAGAGAAGAGTAAAAGGGGTTAGTAAACACAGCACCCTCAAGTGAAACATCCAGGTATTCGCATTAGGACTCATCAGGGAAACAGCTCAACCAACGGAGAACAGAAAAAAGTAAATCAGGGTGATGGCCCACCCAAATGCGACACGGAGCCAAGGGAACCTCCCCCTCCCCCGGGAAGTGGTAAGTGAATGTGTGACCCTCCAAAACCACACTTCTCCCACGGATCTTTGCAATCCTTGGGTTAGGAGATACCCTGGCAAACCTCGTCCACCAGGGCCTTCTGTCTGAAACACAGAGTTGTGTGACGTCTCAGCAGATTGGCTGTTCAGGCACCCACAGAGCCCCAGAATCCCACCTCCAGGATCCCTGGCAAAGGTGACTGAAACTCAGGCAAGGCAGGAGGTTGGACCTCCGTACATAACCCTAGGAAAGGAGCTGAAACCAGGGGGCAGAGCAGCATCAGTCTGTAGGTTCCACTTCCAGGTTACCTCGCTGGATAAAACCCACAGGCTTGGAATTCCAGTCAGCCCCAGCAACAGTGTTGCACCTACCTGGGATGGAACAGAGTTCATGGGGAGAGGGCCAGGCCGCCATCTTTGTGGTTTGGATGACAGCTGTTGCAGTTCCTGGGGTTAGGAGAGTCCAAATCAAATTACTCAAGGGTGGAAGGGATCCCACAGCTGCTCTACCAAAACAGGGCCAGACTGCTTCTTTAAGCTGGACTCTGATTGCCCTTTATCTCTGGGTGAAACCTAACTGTGGCCTTTAGCTATCCCCACCCAGGTTCTCCAGCAGACAGAATTTTTATTTCCCCCCGGAATGAAGTGCCTGGGGGTAGAAGTGGCTGTCATATTTGCTGTTTGAACAACTCTGCCTTTCCAGCCTCTGGGCTTAGGAGAGTCCAAGGCATGTATCCAAAGCCTGGAGACTGGAAACGTTAAATTTCCAAAACAGCAAAGACGAAGGCTCTACTAGAAAGGATTACTCAGTAAAGCACAGCTGCTCTACCAAAATGCAGCCAGACTTTAAGGTCTTTAAGCAGGACCCTGGTCCACTCCTCATCTCCAGAGGGCATCTCCCAGTCAGGGCCCTACAGATACTTGAATTCTCCCTGGGAATGAGTTCCCAGGACGAAGGACAAGTTGCCATCTTTGCTGTTTGGGTAACTCAGCCATTTCAGCTTGTGGGCTTTGAAGAGCCCAGGCTAACTAGGGCAGAAGTGGTACCCCTGCACAGCACAGATGTTCTACAGAAGCATGGCCAAACTGCTTCCTTAAGTTGTTCCCTAATCTATTCCTCCTCATTGGGCAGGACTTCAAAGCAGGGCCTCCAGCCATTCTCACTGATGTTCTCTGGCTAACAGTGGCTTGAAAACTGCCTAGAATAGAGTTCCTAGAAAGAGGGGTGGGATACCATCTTTGTTACTTTATGAACTTAGATGTTCCAGCTTCCAGGCTTTGGAGAGCCCAACCTGATGGATGTGAGAGCACGGTACTCCAGCACAGTACCAATGCTCTGTGAAAGATGGGCTAGACTGCTTCTTTAAGTGAGTCCCTGATCCCATTCCTCCTGGCTTGGTGAGACCTCCCAACCAGAGTCTCAATCCTCCTCCTACAGGTGCAAGTGGGGTGACAACAGGTTTATACCCCACTGGAATGGCGCTTACAGAGGAAGGGGCTGGCTGCCATGTTTGTTGTTTTGCAAACTTCACTGATGATACCTTCAGGTACTGGAAAATCCATGTGACTAAGGACTGGAGTGGACACCCAGCATACCATAGCAGCTCTACGGAAAAGTGGCCAAACTGTTAGAAAAAAAATACACAAAAAACTCAAAAACTGCATCAAGAGATCAGCAGTGTCAAAGACTGAAGGTAGATAAGCCCACAAAGTTGAGAAAGAATCAGTGCAGGAATACTGAAAACTCAAAATGTCAGAGTGCCCTCTCTCCTTCAAATGACCACATCACTTCTCCAGCAAGGGTTCAAGATGGGGCTGAAGCTGAGATGACTGAAATCAGAATGTGGATAAAAATGAAATTCACTGAGATAAAGGATCACATACTTACTCAATGAAAGGAAACTAAAAATCACAATAAAACATTGCAGGAGCTGACAGACAAAATAGCCAGGACAGAGAAGAAAATAACCAAACTGATAGAGATGAAAAACACAATACAAGAATTTCATAATGCAATCACAAATATTGGTAGCAGGATAGACAAGGCAGAGGAAATAATCTCAGAGCTGGAAGACTGTTTCTGAAATAAGACAGGCAGACAAGATAGTTTTAAAAGAATGAATAGGAATGAATAAATACCTCCGCAAAACATGGAATTATGTAAAGAGATAAAACCTATGACTGATTGGTGTACCTGAAGGAGCTGGGGAAAATTGAACCCATTTGGAACACATATTTCAGGATATCATGCCTGAGAACTTCCTCAACCTTGCTAGACAGGCCAACATTCAAATTCAGGAAATTCAGAAAACACCAGTAAGATACTCCACAAGAATATCATCCCCAAGAAACATAATCATCAGATTCTTTAAGGTTGAAATGAAAGAAAAAAAGGTAAGAACATCCAGAGAGAAAGGTTTGGTCTCATACAAAGGGAAGCCCATCAAACCAAGAGTGGACTTTTCAGTGGAAACCCTACAAGCCAGAAAAGATTGAGGTCAATATTTAACATTCTTAAAGAAAAGCAATTCTAACCCAGAATATCAGATCTAGCCAAACGAAGCTTCATAAATTCAGGAGAAATAAGAGTGTTTCCAGAAAGCAAATGCTGAGGGAACTTATTACCACCAGACCTTTCTTACATCCTGAAGGAAGCACTAAATATGGAAAGTAAAAACACACTACCAGCCACTACAAAAACACACTGAAGTACACAGTTCAGTGACACTATAAAGCAACCACAAAAACAAGTCTGCAAAGTAACAAACTAGCATCATCATGACAGGATCAAATCCAGAGATAAGAATATGAATCTTAAATATAAATGGGTTAAATTCCCCAATTAAAAGACACAGAGTAGTAAGCTGGATAAAGAGCCAAGACCCATTTCTATGCTGTCTTTTATCATATGCAAAGGCACACATAGGCTCAAAATAAAGGGATGGAGAAAACATTACCAAGCAGATGGAAAAAACCAAATAACAGGGATTGATATCCTACTTTTTGACAAAACAGACTTTAAATTAACAAAGATCAAAAAAGAACAGGAAGAGTTCACAATGGTAAAGGATTCAATTCAACAAGAAGAGCTAACTATCCTAAACATACACTGCACCCAACACAGGAGCACCTAGATTCATAAAGCAATTTTTTAAAGATCTTCACAGAGACTTAGACCTGCACATGTTAACAGTGAGAAACTTTAAGAACCCGCTGACAATATTAAACATATCAGCAAGAGAGAAAATTAGCAAAGATATTCAGGACCTGAACTCACCTCTTCATCAAATAAAACTGACACATATCCACAGAACTCTCCACCAAAAACCAACAGAATATACATTATTCTCATTGCCACATAGTGCTAACTGTAAAATAGATTACATAATTGCAAGTAAAACACTCCTTGGCAAATGCAAAACAACCGAAATCACAACAAGCTGTCTCCTGGACCACACCACAATCAAATTAGAACTCAAGACTAAGAAATTCACTCAAAACCACACACTTACAAGAACATTGAATAACCAGCTCCAGAATGACTTTTGGGTAAATAACAAATTTAAGGCATAAGCCAAGAAGTTTTTAGAACCTAATGAAAAGAAAGATACAACATACAAGAATCTCTGGGACACACCTAAGGCAGTATTAAGAGAGAAATTTATGGCACTAAATGCCCACATCAAAAATCTATAAAGATCTCAAGTTAAGAACCAAACATCTCAGCTAAAAGAACTAGAGAACCAAAAACAGACAAATCACAAGGCAAGCAGTATACAAGAAACAGCCAAAGTCAGAGCTGAACTAAATAAGATAGTGACATAAAAAATCATTCAAAAGATTGACATATCTAGATGCTGTTTTTTTAAAAAAAATAATAAAATAGATGGACTACTAGCTACCCTAATGAAGAAAACAGAGAAGATCCAAATAAACACAACCAGAAATAAGAGAAATATTACTACTTACCTGACAGAAATACAACCATCATAGAATATTAAAAAGAAAGTGCCACTATGCACATAAGCAAGAAAATCTAGAAGAAATTGCTAAATTCCTGTAGAGATACAACCTCCAAGACTGAACCAAGAATAAACTGATCCTTGAAAAGACCAATAATACGTTTGGAAATAGAGGCAATAATAAATAGCCTATCAACTAAGAAAAGTTCAGGATTAGATGGATAAACAGCTGGGCTGGCACCATGCCTACCGAAACTATTTTTTAGAATGGGAAAGGAGAGACTCCTTTCTAACTCATTCTATGAGGCCAGCATTATCCTGATATCAAGACCTGGCAGAGACACAAGAAAAACAGAAAACTTCAGGCCAATATCCTTGATGAACATTGATGCAAAAATCAACAAAATACCGGCAAACCGAATTCAGCAGTACATCAAAAAGCTTATCCATCATGATCAAGTAGGCCTCATCTCCAGGATGCAAGATTTGTTGAACATATGCAAATCAATAAATTAATCACATAAACATATCTAAAGGCAAAAATCACATGATTATCTCAATAGATGCAGAAAAAATTTTTGACAAAATTCAACATCTCTTCATGTTAAAAATTCTTAATAAAGTATGTATTGAAGGAATATGTCTCAAAATAATAATATCCATGTATGACAGATCCACAGTCAACATCATATTGAATAGGCAAAAGCTGAAGTTATTCCCTTTAAAAACTAGTAGAGACAAGGATGCCCTCTTCACAATTCCTATCCAACATAATATTGAAAGTTCTGACCAGAGCAATCATACAAGAGAAAGAAATAAAGAGCATTCCAATAGGGGGAGGGAAACCAAACTGTCCCTGTTTGTAGACAACATGATTCTATACCTAGAAAACCCCACTGTCTCAGGTCAAAAGCTTCTTAAGCTTATAAGCAACTTCAGCAATCTCAGGATAGAAAATCAATGTCAAAAAATTACTAGCAATTTTATACACCAACAACAGTCAAGCCAAGAGACATAACACCAATGGACTCCCATTCACAATTGCCACAAAAAATAAAATAACTAAGAATACAGATTACAAGGAAAATAAAAGATCTTTTCAAGGAGAACTACAAACCCCTACTCAGAGAAATCAGAAATAACACAAATAAATAGAATAGCATTCCATGCTCATAGATAAAAGTATTCAAAGTTGTTAAAATGGCCTTACTGCTCAACAAATTTTCCCATTAAACTACCATTGTCATTTTTGGCAGAACTAAAAAATTTATTTTAAAATTCATATGGAACCCAAAAAAGTACCCAAATGTTGGGAGAACCCACAAAAGCCAAGGCAAAGGTCTGAAGCCTCAGCATGTCCTCATATAAACATAGAATTAGAAAAGAATTAGAAATACATTTACATAGTTATTCCTATGTATCATAATAAATAATCACATAGCTATTTATATGGAATCATAAATATATACTTACATATAATCATATAATCTTTAACCTTACTAATAAGTCTCAGGTCAAGAAGTATGGGACTGAAGTGGCATTGGAAAAGAGGTGACCCTAAGGCAAGGTGCTCTAAGTCCTCTGTCATGCCTCCATAAGAGCTACTGGAGGATACCTTGGCTGTGTGACAGTGTCAGCACTGTGAAAGTGCCCACTGTTTAGCCAACTAGGGAAAAAGATGTCCAAGATGGCCGAGACATCTCCTTCCCCAGGGGAGTGAGGAGAAAACTCTATTCTCCGAAGCTCTGTGGTAACCCTGATGGCTGTCAGGGAAGTCCACAGACATCTGGGGACTTAATTGTCTCTAAGTGATGCTGTGCTTCAGCAGTCACATTCCATGTCTACTTTCAAGTTCTGTTCTGCACCTGTTTCTCTTTTTCTTAGAAGATAAGAATTAGTAATAATAACATAAATCTTAGTGACCTTGTTATTTCTTGATAAGTATGAAAAAAGTGCTGATGCCTTAGGTTTTCTCCTCACTTTGGCTTCTTCAAAGTCTTGGTAATCACCCTATCACTGATCACCATTACCTCATCCTACCCACCTTTCCCCCTGCTTTGTACTCAATAAAAGTCAGAGCATCGAGACATTTGGGGCAACTGCTGGACTCTGTGCTTTGGTTGGCAGTGGACCCCTGGGCCCAAACTCTGTTTTCTCTTTCTTGGTGTCTTGTGTCTTTTACTTACACAGTTTCTCATCTCCACACCAGCAGAAAGGGACTCATGGGACCCTGTAAGGCTGGATCCTACACCCAAATAGCCAAGACAATACTAAGCAAAAAGAACGAAGCTGAATCCATCATGCTACCCAACATCAAATTATACTATAGGGCTATAGTAACCGAAACAGCATGGTACCAGTACAAGAACAGACACACAGACCAATGGAACAGAATAGAGAACTCAGAAATAAGATTACACCCTATACATTTCTGATCTTTGACAAACCTAAATAAAAAGAAGCAATGATGAAAGGACTCCTAGTCAATAAATGGTGCTGGGATAACTGGTTAGCTAGATGCAGAAAACTGAAACTAGACCTGTTTTCCTAACACCATAACCCAAATTAACTAGCTAACTAGTTTTCCTTACACCATATACAGAAGTTAACTCAAGATGGCTTAAAGACTTAAATGTAAAACACAAAACTATAAAAACCGTACAAGACAACCTAGGCAATATCATTAACTACATAGGTCCAGGAAGAGATTTCATGTCCCAGATGCTGAAAGGAACTGCAACAAAAGCAAAAATTGACAAAAAGAATCTAATTAAACTAAAGAGCTTCTGCATAGCAAAATAAACTATCAATAGAATAAACATACAACCTACCTACAGAATGGGAAAAAAATTACAAATTATGCATTTGTCAAAGGTCTAATATCCAGCATATATGAGGAACTTAAACAAATTTACAAGGAAAAAAAAAAAACAATCCCATTAAAAAGTGGGCAAAGGGCTGGGTGCAGTGGTTCA